ACTATTCATATCAAAACTTTGTAATTGCTTATGTTCCTAACAATAACGGGTTGGTTTGTTTTGAGAAACTATTAGGTAGCTCGTACCTACTGTTCGTCAGAGAATTAATGTAATACAGGGTGAGTTCAATCGCCAAATTGTCTGACAGCAATTGACAAGGAGGAGGGGTAGATAATGAATAATCTGAGTGATTTAGGAGGGGCACAAACAGAAAGTAATTAGAAAAATGAATAAAAAATTAAATTATTTACATTTGATTTCGTTTAGGAAATTGTGAAGTGATGTATTCTGCTAGACGATTGAAAAATAACATACTCGAAATTATACTGATTCTTTTTTGAAAATTCCAACAAATTTCTATCTGGTAGTGGTGGAAATAGATACAAATACAGTCAGTAGGAAATAAGCAATAAATAAAATAAATATCATATGAAAAAGTCTGCATAAAAGAAATTGAAAATTTTCCTTCAAAAAATATCTATTGAAATGATTTGTGAAGTTGTGTACAAAAACATAGGAATATTACAGTAAATGTAACAACGACTCGAAGTTTGTGAATACGGTTCCCTATTACAATAATCAATGTTTTCCCTGAATTGTTTCAATCATTGAAGACTGATATTTACTCATAACTAATTGAGTACCTACCTGTTTTGATATTGACATTTCATGGGAATTTTTAAAAATTTCAAATCAAGAGCTTGACATTCTACCTAATTTTCACAACGGCAGTAACGTTTTTGATTTGATTTTTACTACACAGATTTCGTTAACTGAAAGTTGAACATAGAGTATGTTCATTGTTTTGGAGATTTTGTGTTTCCAGTTACATACATGATCAGTTGTGAATTTGGGAAAATAATATTTTAGTGCGTTCATTGTTGCCATGGGAAACTAAGGAATAGGTGAAATTAGTAACTCACGGGAACCACAAGAAACCGCAATTATAGGACAAATGACTTTGTGTTTGTTTCACAATCTGGCTTAGTTTTAATATGTGTGGTAGATGTCGCATCTGAACGATGAACCCCCAATTGAACTTATGAATTAACCAGATGCTTTGGATAGTCTATACTCAAAGCTGGTGTCATTGTCTAATAGCTTTGTATTATGTACAAAGCTAATATACATAAAGCACTATGAATAGCATTGTTCCAGAAGTAACATTATAGCTTATATCCTATAGATGGCATTGCGCGATATTCGAAAATTTGGATATTAATGGCATTGTCTTAATGGTTTCTTGCTTTTTCTTTCTGCTCCTATGAATGAGGTTAGAAAATATGTATATAGACTTTTTGATTAATCTATTACTAGTTTTAGAAAAGTATGAACCCTTATTTTCATAAGTAGTAGCTAACAACAACAGTTCAGCTACCGTCCCAATATAAAGTTGAATCTTTGTTAAATGCTTGTTTCTTTATATTTTTTGTTTCCCTTAATGGAAATGGCTTACATAGAAAACTATGCAACTATAAAATAAAAAAGAAGTTTTGCTACTACTTCATCGATGGCGCTGCATGATATTTTGAACATTTTCTAAGAATTTATAGTCGGTCAACCACAATATAAAAAGCATTGGATGGAGGTTGACAGAGCCATCTATATTTTTTTACTAGAAATTCGGAAATTTTATACCGTAATGTGGCGCCTTCATCGGAAGGAAAGCAAAACTTTCATTGATTAAAGTGCAAAATACAATAATAATAGTTTGCATTCAGATGTTTCGAATATCNGATTTGAAAGGGTTATATTTTTAGTAGTGATTAATTTTTTGGGAAAGAAAGTTTTTGGCTTTCTACTACTCCATCTGATACAAAAAAATGGATGAGAGAATCTTCCTATATATACTTAGTATAATTTCATACATCAGCTGTACTTTGGAATGAACTTCGCTCTAGTTATTATTTTTCTTCTTCTGTTCTCAGAAAATGTCCTTTCTGGAAATGTTATTGATTTCTTTTTCAACGGTAGTTTGAATATTGAAATCAACAGATAATAAATTATCTGTTCCATTCGATGTGAATGATAATGTCTAATTATCTACATATTTCCCAATGAAGGGGATATTGAAATGGGGTTCTGAGCATTAATCCAGTGAATCGTCTGATACATAATTTGCTGAATTCGGAAATATTGATCCCATTGGTGTTCCAAAATTTCGTTCGAAATATTCTTCCATCAGAAACAAAATATGTTAATTCAAAAATGAAATATAAAACTTTCCTATGAGTTATTTTGTCAAGTCTGCAATTCTTTGTACATGAATCCAATTTCTTCAGAAAATAGATTTCACAGAATTGAAAGGTGGATTGTGATATTACATCTAGACTGCGATGAAAGTTATAAAAATAACTGAATACAATTATAAAAATTGTAAATAATAGAGGTACAGCTCCAGTGGTTGCAACTTGTTTTAGCAGATTTGATGATCTTTTTTCAAAATTCGAACATTTCAATACTCTTCGAGATATTCAAAAAAAAACAAACCACAATTTTTTTTACTGATTTGTTTTTTTTTTCAGCGCCTTATCGAACTCCTCCTTGAACTTTCTACGAGACAATACGAATCGAATGACACCTTGATCGTAATTTTCGGAGACTATACGAAAATTTTAGAACCGTGGCGTAGTGCATCTGGAGTTCTTGCAACATGGTCGTATGGTCAATAAGAATTCATCTTGAAGTTATGCGCTGCTTACTAGAAGCAATAAGAAGAAAACGTCTGGTACTATGAAGAAACAATCTCTACGACTTTTTCTTGTTCCCATGTTTGGAGAGACTCATGAAAGGATGGCGTTCTGCTATAATTGACCGAATCGCTGAGAGTGCATATCAAAACTGCTTTGAGAATTGGAAAAAATACTGGCAAAAGTGGAACTACTTTTAAGGGAACGAAATAGAAATTTATGAACGAATCAATATTTTTTAACAGTCGTTTTCTTTCATTATGTCCACTAGGTATTTGTCTGCATTAGAAACAATTTTGCATGTCCTCACCTTCATAATGAATATCGACTGTACTACATAATTGTATTCTTTATCTGTATATTACATCAACAACAAAGTTATATCGCCTCTGCCATACAACGTTTGTGAAGTGAACAAAGATGAGAAGAAAAAGTAGATGAGACTTTTAATGGCACCTGAGTACATTTAAACCCCAAGCGTATTATGGTTACTCTCCAACATACCTTTAATTTGTACAGAAACTACAGTGGTACTCCATAAATTATTCTAGGGGTGGGAGCGTTGAATTCTACTCCACAAAAAATATTCCATTTCGCGTCTGAGACTCTTGGGAGTGGAAAAATTTCTCCTTGCTACCTTTACTATAGAGCAGTCAATTTGTTTAGGGCAAGTTACTTAATAAAGATTTGAATAAATCAGTTGTTGATAACATATAGTGCATCATTGAACAAAACTTCTCATGTTTATAGACCTGTGAGAGCCATCTTGTCCAAAAATGAAATATAAATGATTTTTAGTATTTTGAAATTATAATGTTAACAGAAAAAAATATTTTCAGCGATTTACTGGGTAATGCAAGTCTGATAAAAACTCTTCAACACTATATAACGATTTCCTGATGAAGAATTCCCTCTTTCTGAAACTTAAAATATTTCAACATTGCTGTATAATTTTTGGTAACTCACTGAAAAATATTTATCGATTGTAATAAATACCTTGGTAGAGACTTGTTGAATGTATTGACAGTACTAATATTTGTTTGTTTCAAGTTTCCTAATAATGAAAAACTTTCCCTCATTCAAAGAACGTTCTATATTTATGAACAAAATGTCACTTCATAACTAAAAATTGATGCCACTGTTCAAATTTCGTAGTTTCAACTTAGGTTTCGATATGAAACATGCGTCAGTTGATTTCAGTTGGAACGTGACAGGAAGCGTTATTTCTCACAATATAAAAACTGTCGATTTTTGTCAAGGGGCCCTACAGTGCATTAGGCCGTATTGTTAGTTAGGTTAGGTTGGATCCAAAGTGAGTGAGTCTATTCGACCCTCCACCGCAATCCAATCCCACTTGACCTAATAAATCCAGCTTCTCAACGAAGCCAATTAGTTTGTATGGTGAGTGGACTTTCAGATCAGATGGTAAGAGTACGGCTCTGTCGAACTCTAAAAACCTGATTCGGTCCCCAGCGGGGCACGCCCAGAGTTTGTGCTCTGCTGTTTCATCGTTCTCCAAACAGAGGCGACACATACTGTCTTTCGATAGTCCGACACTCTGCATATGATAATTCAAATGACAGTGGCCTGTAAGAAGGCCTGTTAGACATCGTGGTTCATCCCTACTGTAGTCCAACTACTGTTTAAAAAAAATCTATTCAAAATCTGTTTTTCTGTTAATCAGCTGTCGCCCCCATACGAACGACAACTCTCAGAAGTTGAGAAACTTGTGCGAGCTAAGGACTAACGAAGTCTTACCTTTTAACGTGTGATACCTAACACTTTCCTAATTCCTAATTGCTGACTGTATGGTATCAAGCTTCGAAGGGTGAATAAACGCCTTGGAGTGAGCCAATCCTGGAAGATTCTGTCAGAAGTCCATAAATCTTCTTGCCATCCAGGTGTTCAATCTCTGTTTGGCAAAGCCTAAAGCGATGCCTATGGCAGGTTCTGGTCCGATGAAGCTGCTTGCAGCACCCTCCTTTGCAAGGGAGTCAGCAGGTTCATTGTCTTCCAGGCCAGTATGGCCAGAAATCCAGACCAGAGACAATCTGTTAAGTCTTCCTATCGGGAAGAATCGATTTTGGCAATTTGCTACCAATTTAGACGTTGCTCGGTAGGAGTATTTTAAGTTAGCATAAAAGCATAAACGTGCCCTTGTTACACTGTTGAGAGGACACACAAAGAGCATACCATATTCTAGCAAACATCATGTATAATGTATCTTCATGATCATTCCGTTTCAAGTTATTTCCAATGAAAAGTCCAAGTAATTTATTGTTTCATATGCAAATGATCAATGTTCCATAATCAAGATCTTGAGCGTTTGACTGACTCATTTCAAACGTTATTATATTCATTTTTTCAAAATTTAGGCATAACCTAATCTCGTTACTCTATTTACATACATTTGTGTACAATAACTCGGTTTGATTTAGTATTTGAAATATTATAAGTGTCAACATAGGCATTCAGTTCACTCACATGTTCCACTGAATCAATTATATAAACGTTGACCTAAAATTGACTTCAAAGTTCAGTTTTACAGTCAATAGGTTTCGAACCTGAAAAAAAATTGCTACATTTCACCTGCTGATATCTGGCGCTAATGTACGAGGCTAACCAATCAAGTGCGATATCCTTATTTTTCTGATTTTTATAAGAGGATTATATAATTTACACAATCAAATGCCTTGAAGTAAACAACCCTAAATCTCTTAGTTCTTCATTAAGTTCTTTGAAATTCATGTTGGCAATCAGATGATCTATTATTGCTAATGAAAATGTTTAGAATGTTGTCATTCTCAATTGGATCAAAAACCTCACCAATATTCAAACAAGTTATTGCACTATAGTTTTATAATTTTTTTCATCACCTTCTTGCGGGAAATATTTGAATCAAACAATTCTATATCACATGTTTTGTGAAAAATGTATTCATATTTATTTATTAATACTTCACCAATTGAAATCGTGACAATGATGACATGGGATGGCTACATGATTGCTAAGGAATTCGGTTACATTTCTGAGTCAAAAACTCAATAAAATGATATATGACTAGTGGAGGACGTGGAACATATAGAAAAAAAACTGCCTTTCGAGTTGGAGAAGGAAGTACTTTTTTAAGACAGTATCGAATTTGCTGCCACAAAAGTCGTAACTAATTCACCAAAACGAATATAAAACCTTTGATGAATGGAGGAAAGTCGGATTATTGGATGTTGAAGTCAACTATACTTGTACTACTGCACAAATATTGTTAAATTCCGAAGTAAGTGTGTATTTATTATTGAAATGTTGAGAATCAAAAAACCAAATATTTACAGATATAGTAAACTGAACATGTTGCTGTAAATATTATTCGACAGCTAACAACCCAAGAAATCCAAGATACTTGAGTCCAGATTTTCGAAAGAAGCTATTCCATGGTTATGTGAGGTCCAAACTAGATGATGGGGCGATTATCTGGTATCCCATTTATAATTATCACATTCAGCAAATTGAAGCTGTCCAAAGAAAGTTTGTAAAATTCTTGTCTTCTCGAATTACAGGTATTTACCCCTAAAGGGGAATTGACTATTCTATCCTTTTGAACCAATTTAATATTATATCACTGAATACACAAAGACTCCTCATTACGGTCACATTTCTGAATAATAAATAATAACATCTCCTGTGCTCCGTTCCTACAAAAAATTAATTTTTATGTACCACGCCTCAACTTAAGATACTGACGATTGTCAGTGTAGTAGAACAAATGTGAATTTTAGAGCACCAGTAAATTTAATGTGTTACAATTTTAATTTAGTATGTAACATGTGTTACATTAATGAAAACTCTTTGAACTTCATCACATGTATCGCACATAGAAACTTTCATTTATAGTTTTTTTATACATAATTTTAAATTGTTTTATGTCAACATTGTGAAGGCTAATTCATTTATAATATACATATAATATTGAATCTTATTATATTATTTCATTTATATTATTTATATCATTTGTAATTTGTCAATTGAATATGTAATATGTTAATTTAATTGAATTGAATGTTATTTTTTCAGTACATTTTCTTTAACAATTCATGTAATTGAGTGTACATCTGTTGGAAAAAAAGTGCTGTCTATCTATCTAGAAAGTGAGGTACCTTTCAGAATTGTAGCTTACCAATTTTTCAACTTTGTGTCGATAATTCTATGTTATGGTAATCAGAAGACCTCTACAAATTGGACTTAAAAATTTTGTTATGATTGATGGACTCATTGTTACCCATCCACGTAAAAATGTTGAAGATATTCATTGCTAGCGGTCAATTACAATTATTGAAAAAATAGCAGGTAGTCATGAATAGATGTTTCGTTGTTCACTTGGTTGTGAATCATCCTAACTTCGAGCATACAGAAAATATAATGGAGATTGTTTTATATTCCATATCCTGTGATCGGATCAATTTCGATGTCTATGAACTTGAAATATTAAAATATGGAATTCTCAATACTGAGTGTTCTTGTGTTAAAATATTGAAGTGAGGTTGGAATATCTTTCAATTCATATATGTAATTAAATGAATCTGAATTATTTCATGATTATTTTCCATATTTGACAATACTTTCATTTGAAAGTAAAACTCAACGGCGCGTATCATGCGATAATATTGCAACGTCACAAATCCATTATCGCATTATCGCAATGACCAGAATTAATGAATTAAAGTTTGAATTGCTACTCCATGCATCCTAATTTCCAGATTTAGCCCCCTCGGATCATTTTCTGTTTCTAAACTTGAGAAAATGGCTCAATAATTGAAGATTTTCCAACAATGAAGAAGTGATGTCAGCAAGGAGATTATGTTGAAAAATAAATAATTTTTTTCCCAAAATATTTGCATTTTCTTTGTTAGATGCGGTACTTCTAGGACCCCCCTCCAATTTCATACACGAGGGAATGATTTGCTACTATTGTTGTTACAGTTGAAAAGTGGTTAATATTTTTGCTTTCGAATGAACTCTTCTCAAGTACAGATCACCCAGAGCATTCACCATATTTTCGTTTATTTCCTGTCTCTTGGTATACATGTTAGCTCTTAACTTCTGGATTCCGAGATTCTTTATTCTTGAATTCTTCTTCATAGTTTTTCATTGAAAACATTTCATTCGCTTCAGTTATTGTTTTCAGATTTCATTCTTTTCACCCTTCATTACATTCATTATGGAGATGGCAGAGAATAAATCGATAAATTTTCTGACAAAAAAAAATTAAAAATGAATACGATTCATTAACTTCTGGTAAACCAATACACACAGATGAACAGAGTATTGTTATAGCTAATTCCACTATTGCTATCTCAAAAATCATAGGACTTACGAGGTCGGGTAATTTGGATAAAAGTGGAAATAGAATATTCTTTTGGATCGAGAATATCAGTGGATTTTGGATTATTCGCCAAAAACTAGAATAGTCGAATTTCATATTTTTTTTTGCTCTACTGCCTCCAATTTGAATAATATAAAGGAAAGGCAAAGAAACTGTCAATACAGTTTCATATTTGTAATAATCTGATATAAACCAATTTGCAATGTGACGTTTCGTTCATTAAATTTCATCATACACTTTGTTGTGCCGGGAAACACATGTATTGTAATACATAGCTGAATTTGTTGACAACCACTGATATGTTCGATCTGAAAAGAGATTATTCTAGTTTTCAGAAAGGAAAACTTTTGTCCAAGTTAATCGACCTTGTAGGTCTTACTGTTTCCGAGATATAAATAGTGGGACCAGCTGAAAAGATGGCCTATATATCATTCATATCAACAAAACGTAGCAGCATTCAAAAGCAATGTTCCTTTGTTTGATGCGAATATCAAAAAAAAATGAATTTAATGAATGGTCAAAAAAGCAATTTAATATATTCTTAACAGCTCCAAAATCTCACAATTGAACCATAAAGGAAATAACCCGGTTCCAAAGGGTAAAAATTACAAAAAGTTGATTTATTTGATCAAATTAAAAATATGAATATCCACACTGTTCAACATCTATATATTTTCTGTGCCTGTATCTTCGAAACTTATCAAACTGAGTCATTACATGAAACATTTTGGCTTCAGTCTTTGAAGAGTAGCGCACAATTGCTCTTTAAAAATTGAAAGTACACAAAAGTGGCACATATTTTCAACTACTGCTCAAAAGATGGCAAACCATTACTTTAAAATAAAAACTCCAACACATTATTCTGAATATAGTTATACTAAGATCTATTGAAATGATTTGTGAAGTTGTGTACAAAAACATAGGAATATTACAGTAAATGTAACAACGACTCGAAGTTTGTGAATACGGTTCCCTATTACAATAATCAATGTTTTCCCTGAATTGTTTCAATCATTGAAGACTGATATTTACTCATAACTAATTGAGTACCTACCTGTTTTGATATTGACATTTCATGGGAATTTTTAAAAATTTCAAATCAAGAGCTTGACATTCTACCTAATGTTAACAACGGCAGTAACGTTTTTGATTTGATTTTTACTACACAGATTTCGTTAACTGAAAGTTGAACATAGAGTATGTTCATTGTTTTGGAGATTTTGTGTTTCCAGTTACATAGGTGATCAGTTGTGGATTTGGAAGGAATAGGTGAAATTAGTAACTCACGGGAACCACAAGAAACCGCAATTATAGGACAAATGACTTTGTGTTTGTTTCACAATCTGGCTTAGTTTTAATATGTGTGGTAGATGTCGCATCTGAACGATGAACCCCCAATTGAACTTATGAATTAACCAGGTGCTTTGGATAGTCTATACTCAAAGCTGGTGTCATTGTCTAATAGCTTTGTATCATGTACAAAGCTAATATACATAAAGCACTATGAATAGCATTGTTCCAGAAGTAACATTATAGCTTATATCCTATAGATGGCATTGCGCGATATTCGAAAATTTGGATATTAATGGCATTGTCTTAATGGTTTCTTGCTTTTTCTTTCTGCTCCTATGAATGAGGTTAGAAAATATGTATATAGACTTTTTGATTAATCTATTACTAGTTTTAGAAAAGTATGAACCCTTATTTTCATAAGTAGTAGCTAACAACAACAGTTCAGCTACCGTCCCAATATAAAGTTGAATCTTTGTTAAATGCTTGTTTCTTTATATTTTTTGTTTCCCTTAATGGAAATGGCTTACATAGAAAACTATGCAACTATAAAATAAAAAAGAAGTTTTGCTACTACTTCATCGATGGCGCTGCATGATATTTTGAACATTTTCTAAGAATTTATAGTCGGTCAACCACAATATAAAAAGCATTGGATGGAGGTTGACAGAGCCATCTATATTTTTTTACTAGAAATTTGGAAATTTTATACCGTAATGTGGCGCCTTCATCGGAAGGAAAGCAAAACTTTCATTGATTAAAGTGCAAAATACAATAATAATAGTTTGCATTCAGATGTTTCGAATATCAGATTTACTGAAAAATTACCAAATATAGATATTGAGGTATATCGTTTCGAGGCAATTCAACTTTTCCAATTAATTTGAAATTTGGCAGGGATACATATCATTCGAGTGACAATGCTTTAACGACATTTACAATAGGAGAAACATAGAGATTGACTTTGGTGAATTGATATATTTTTATCAACATTCATGATAGATGAAGAGTTTTGTTATTTAATTCCGATTCTATTATAAATTGGTATTTTGAAGTCAAAGATTATATATTTTCTTACTAGATTCAAGATGGCGGATAAGGTAGCTGATTTATAGTCTGATTCCATTTAAAATTGGTATATAGGCGCTTTTTGAGCCATGATTTTTTACTATGTTTTTATTGACTCGCTTTCTTGTCTGTTTGTACTGTACAAATTTTGTTAAGTGAAATTTGTTAAACCTCTTGTTGAAATTTGGCGGATGTTCACAATTTCCGTGACAATGCATTATGAAATTTTTGTTATAGAAAAAGAAAACAAAATGGACGTGATGTATGATTAATGGTCTGATTCTATTAAAAATTGGTTTGAGGGGATTTTTGCAGCCAGATATTATGAATTGATAGTCAAGATTACTAAAATCAAGATGGCGGCTCCAAGATGGCTACGAGTTCAGTGACTTTGATCCGATTTGATTGAAAACTGATATATTGGGGTTTTAGTGATCTGGGATTGTGAAGTTTTAGACAATTCTCAAATTCAAGATGGCGGACGAGTTTTGTGATTATGGTTAGACTCGATTCAAAATTGGTATGTGGAGAATAAAGAGGTCGGAGATCAGGAATCTTTTGTAAAAATAGAATTAAATAGGAATTCAATGACATTTTTGTTTGTTGTCAACCCCAAAATCGCGGTCTTCGACCGCGCCTCTCCAAAAGATGTAGTCACCAGAAAGCATTCGTAACATATTTATGATGCAGAATGGCATCTTACTATAAAGAGACCTCCATTATATTTTTGTCTATCAAAATATCAATTTCTCTTTTTTTGGGGGGAAAGAAAGAAATGTGGAAATATTTCTAAGAAAGGAAGGAAGTAATCAATTTGAAAATAAGTAACTCTATATATGGATGAGTAGATCATGCAAAGAGGCAACTTTCAGACACAAACTGGAAGAAAGCCCTCCTGTAACAGCTACTTTCATATAAACATTGAATTACACGAAAGAAAGAAATTCTTTCGAAACAAATACTTTTACATGAACTTTTAATGGCGGCTCCATTATGGCGGACAAGTTTTCTGATTATGGTCCAATTCTATTTAAAATTGGTATCTGGAGGATTTCCAGGGTCGGAGATTTTTTATTTAGTTTCACCTGTTTCGGTGTCTGCATCCACATACTCCACCTTATGTGACTTTCATAATAAATATCCATCATTTCGTGTTTTCTCTTTAATAAATTTCAGAGTAGTAAAAAGTTATTTTCAAAATTCGATATTTCGAAAACGGTTGAAGTTAGGAAATGATGAGCTATATAACGAACAATGTTGTTCAAAATTTCAAATAGAATGAAAATATGGAATAATACATGAGGTGTTCTATTGAAGAAAAAGCAACTTTATTTCTTCAAAACTTTTTGACTTATCCTGTTTACCTAATTTTTATTTAGAGTGGTAGATTTGGAAAAACCCTATAACTTCTGCATTTCAATATTTTTGGCTAGCTATCTTACTATAAGAGATAATCGACCATTTCCATACCTCTCAGCGACCCTTTATAAAAAAAATTGATGCAAAAGTCATGGATAATCACCAACTGATAATTATTATTTTTCAATATTCAGCAAAGTGGTGGTGATGGTGGTGACAGGCGTGATTGAAGAACTTGAGCAAGGCAATCAAGTTACCCTAAAGCTTTGCGATCTAAACAAAACTGTGCCTTACATGAAATACTGTTGAAAAAATTAGGGATTACAGGTATTTCGCTTGATTAAATAAGAACCTATTTGGCAAACTGCCAACAACTAGTAGGTAATGTTCATGGTATTCTGTCAAACTTCCAAACTGTCAAAAACAGCTTCCCAAAAGGGTCTGTTTTGGTGGTCCAATTAGATAAGGGTGACAAGAAGAACCATGTATCATTATTCATTTGCAAAACTTTTACATGAAGATAGTTGTTGAATTTTTTTGTAATATTGATATAACAGTAGGACTCTTGCAGAATAATAGATCCATTGGGAGTTATATATTTTGGGAACTGTTGAGGTTTCTTATCTGAATGGATTATCCATTGTTTACATCTTGTGGGATCTTCGACTGAAAAACGAAAAAATATCAAACTATGGTCATTTCTAGTTGGGAGTCCACAGTTGTTGTTGGCACATTATTTGCCAGACATCTGGAAATGAAAATGAAATTATAAAAGAA